TGGTCTATCCCATCTACCTTATCCCGTCCGCCTCTCACTCCTCAACCTCTATCCCCTTGACGTAAGACGCGTAAGAGGTGATCTGTTTTTGATGTTTCACCTTTTTGAAACGGGTCAAAGCGATTACTTCTTCTCCGTCTGTCCAGCCTCCTCTCTCCGTGGTCACAGCAGGAAAGTTTTCAAACCGAGGCCACGCACTTCACTAAGGATTAACTTTTTTAGCTATAGGGTTATTACCATGTGGAATGCACTTCCGGAAGATATTGTTCTGTCGCAGGACAAAACTATCTTCACGAAAAAGCTAGACATCTACCTGGGTCTCTCCCAATAATTCCCTTTGTCAAAAAAAAACAAACAAAATAGTTGTCCTTTATCGCATATATGTTCATGAATGCCGCACCCCCACTCAGCTTAAGGCACTGTCCACAGTGTGACACTGAATGAGGTTATATGTATCTTGTTTTCGCTGCCACCCCCGCCCCCCCCCGCTTCTTTTTACTCCCGTTTCAGCTCGGTGAATCCGACAGAAGATCAAAGATTTCCTAAAGAACCGGGACAATTGGGCTTAAAGCCTCGAACCCGTGTAGTACTTCAAGACTTCAAGACTTCAAGACTACTGTCCGGGGCAGTCGCCCATTCTGAGTGGTCGACCATGATTCAGGGGCACGCTACCTAGTAGACACGGGTGTTGAAGTTTGTGCGCTCCCCACTTCAGGTCAAGCTTTGGATGGGAGCTCATCCTGTAACTTACGTGCCGTTTGTGATACTTTTATAAGGACTTTTGGACAGATTTTGGAGACGTCAGATTTTGGTATTCGTCGCACATTCTTCTGGGTTTTCTTGACTGCAGCGGTTCAAAACCCCATAACTGGTGTTGATTTCCTGCATCACTTCAACCTCTTGGTTTATCCTAGCAGCAAACGTCTTGTAGATAGTGTCACCAATCTATCTGTGAATTGGATTTCGGTTGATTCTAGCCCGGCCAGTCTTGCTCTGCCCAAAATGACTGGTTCGCTTTTGTTCGTAGGCGTAATAAATGCATACCCAAAAATGTTTCGCCCATCGTCCGTGCTGTCCACCGTGTCCGCCTGGTAAGTCATCATATAAGCATATCGGGCCCTCCAGATTTTGCCAGGGCTTATCGGCTTTCACCCGAAAAGTCCAAGATCGGGCAAGCTGAGTTTGAGCACACGCTTGAATTAGGTATTATTCGTGCCTCAGATAGTCCCTGGGCTCCACCATTTCATATGGTCTCTGAAAAGTCAGGCGACTGGCGACCACGTGGAAGTCATAGACTCCTCAGTAACGCCACTGTTCCAGATGGGTATCCTATCACACATATTCAGGATATCACGGCCAACCCCAGAGGCGTGCGTGTTTTCTCCAAAATAGGTCTGATACGTGTTTACTACCAGATTCCCATCGCAGATGAGGATATACCTAAGACAGCGGTAACAGCGCCTTTTGGTCCCTTCAGATTCCTACGAAGACCACTTCGTCCGCGCTACGCCATGCAAACCTTTCAGCGTTTTATCGATCGGGTTACCAGAGGCTTAGATTTTGGTTTCGTCCACATTAGAGGTCTGCTAGTAATTAGTGAATCTGAAGATGCACACAAGCAACATCCACATCAGTTGTTTGAGCGTTTGGCCGCACATGATACAACTGTCAGTGCTGACAGAAGTGTCTCTGGCCAACTTTCAGCTGAGATTTTAGGCCACATGACCGATGAACGTGGTATCCGGCCATCAAGAGAAAAAGAACAAGCCACCCGTGACTTTCCGCTGCCCACTTCACTGGCCACCGTTCGTTGTTTCAACGGGATATTGGGCTATCATCAGCGTTTCCTCTCAAAACTGCGCCGAAGTGCAGCTGCGGTTAACGGATTTACTTTGAGGCGCTAAGAACAGTTCCATAGAATTATCCGAGGATGCTTGAACTGCCTTCAATGCAGCTAAAGATGCTTTGGCTTCTACTTTGCTGGCCCATGTCGACGCTTGAGTTCAATTGAATATAGCCTCCGACGCCTCTGGCAAGGCCATGGGCGGCGTGGTAGAGCTGTGGTCTACGTCGCCATGGAAGCCACCAGCCTTTCTCTCTCATCGTGTTCTACTAGCTGAAGCTGAGTATTCCACGTTTATTTGAGAACTACTTGCAGTTTACCGCATTGTCCGAAATTCCCGATTTATCCTCAAAGGCAGACAATTCATCATTCTTGCCGACCGTAAACCACTGACATATGCGTTTCACAGCCGAACCGATAAGCACTCACCACGTGGGTTACGCCATTAAGACTTCGTGGCATAGTTTCACAGTGATGTCCGTCACGTTTCTGACGCTGACGGCGTCGTACTTCATGCTCTTTCTTGGGTTGACTCTATTTCTGGCCAGCCACGGGCCACTGACCTCAAAGCTTTGGCCGCAGCGCAAAGGTCGGAATTGGACTTCACAGACCCAAGCGAGATTAAATCACTTAAACCTTCGAAGTTTGTTTTATCCACTTTCCCGGGCTCGATAAAGTGTGACACAACTTTGCCACACTCATGCCCATCGTACCTACGTCCTGGCTGTGCACAATTTTCTACGTTTTACACAAGTTATTCCATCTTGACATCCCAGGCGCCACTGAGCTAGTTGCAGATGGGCTCTTCTGACACGGCATGCAAAAGGATGTTCATGATTGGGCTCGTTTATGTATTCGGCGCCTACAATCTAAAGCAATTAAACGTCCATTGGCTCTTTCGGACCCCGTTCCGCTTGTATCCTCACGATTTTCTCATATCCACATAGGTATCGTTGATTCTATAAGTCCCGGGTAAGGGTTTCCGTTACCTTCTTATCATGGCCGACCGTTTCACTTGTTGGCCAGAGGCCTTCCCCATTGCCAATGTAGAGACAAAAGTCGTAATAGCTGCTTTTATGCAATGTTGGGTTTCACTATATGGTTGCTCTGCAACGATAGCTACTGATCTTCGCGCATAGTTTGGATCACACGTGCTTGGAGAAACATTGCATATGCTAGGCTGTCATCGTTCTCGTACGAAAGCACGTCACCCAGCAGCCGTCGGTGTGGTTGAGCATTTTCTTCCGCAGCTCAAAGTATTGCTAACCGCAACTGACAGCTCTAATTGGGTGCGGGCTCTTTCAGTCGTTCTCCGAGGTTTGTTTTCGGCTTATAAACTTGATAATATTGCTTCCGCTGCCGAATTAGCTTTTGGTCAAACTCTTTTGTCACCTGGGTTTACTCTGCCAAAGGTCACGTGATTGATGAAGGCAGTGCTTCATACTCTCGGCAGTTAGGTGCGCAGATGAGCCTTTTGCAAGTGCGTTCACCGCGACCATCTTCCAGTCTACCTACGTTCCAGTGGAACTGTCCTCTTACCCCCTCGTCCTGATACGCGTGGGTATCGTTAGAACATCTCTACAGTGGCCTCACAAAAGCCCATATAAGGTGATTGAGCATCGCCATCGAGTTTATCCCTCAGACAGAAAAGGTAAACATGGAATCATATCTATCGACCATCTCAAGGTTGCTCACCCCGACGATGGTCTAGAACAGGAGACATTACTTAACAATAGTGCTCCAGTCGTTCCTCCACCCAACGTAGAGACCACCCCCGAACCTCAACCAGCTCAGCCCGAAACCCTGGGGCCGCAACGAAAGGCGCGATCTGTCCGTCATGTATATCGGCCAAGTCGGCTAGTAAGCAGCATTCATTTTTTCAGTCTCACTTAACACTTTTTGGAAAGCAGAAAAACAATTAGTACATTTTAAAATTCACGTACTGTACCTGCCGACAGGTTAAGCCACTTCATTTTCGTCGTGCTCATCGCCGTTTGCTCACGTGCTTCCTTTTGCACTTCCACAGCATGTACAAGCACGGTGAATGGAGGAAACTCCGAGAAATCGTGTCGGATTATTTTTCATACCAAATTCGGTGAAGGCTTCTTAGATGACCGATAGGCCGAGCGCATTTTAGTAATTCTACACCGGCTGCACGAAGATGTTGTGGCGTGGAAGCATGTTACGAGAAACAACAGATGACACTTGAGAAAACAGAAGCTAGAGAAAACCTGCAAATGGAGGGCACACAAGCAGATGTCGAGGTACGCTCGATAGTCCACATAGAAGTGTGTGGAGTGCTTCCAGCGGCAGAAAGCCGAATTAGTTCGAATAGGCAAATTCAGAAAAAAACTACCGTACGAAAATATAATGACATAGTGCCCAAAGCAAAATGTGCGGCCATCGTACCCATATAATTAAACGTTCTTTTGTTTGCTATATAAATCACGCAGTTCCCTGCCATTAGTATAGGATAGATGAAAGTTTTTGTTTTATATAGTTATTCCGTACGCAATCGAGATTAGGACACTTGTTACACAAGCGTAATTTTGGCGCCGTATCTCTAACCGTGCGGTGGCATAACGGGCAACGACGAAAACGTCTGTCCACGCGTGAATAAGCCAAAACTTCCACACATGCAAGTATCGTTGTTGGTCCCGTGTGACCAAGCGGAAACTGGATCGATAAGTAAGTGGGGCCAAAATGCTAAAGCCAGATTGGTTGGAGGACAGGGTCTGACTGGATGCGTTAGTTCGACATGCGCAAGCGTGCAGATTAAAGGACCAACGAATGAACAAACAAGAAGGACGGGTGCGACTGACAGTCCAATTAACCATGCAGACACTACGAAACTTCTTCTCTCAAAAGTGGTTTCGGATTTGGCACGTAGGCCTCAAATGGAGTTTACGAGAAGTGAAAGAAAATGTTTATGTGAATATGGTACCACCAAGTAGAAGACCACAAGGATGGCGAAAAAATTAATCATGAATTTGTCCAATGTCGAAGACGCCCCAACCTACTGTAACAGATATCATGGTACTTGCGATGGGTGCAAGATGAAGGAGGCAAAATAACGGAGCCATGGTAAATGGATAATGGTCATTGCTATCGCGTGGGGTAGGACACCGCTCAGCGAGAATGAAACACACTCGAGAAAATGTCCAGTCGACCTCGCTACTATTCTCAACGACACGACCTTCACGACTCATATTCTTCAGGTGGCGCTGTCTGTCGGGTTGAGCGCCGTAGCAGTACTCCCGGTGCGACATCACGGTGCGTAAGTAAAGGTTCTCGATTGCTTTGTCGACTACAAGTAATCAACCTCCGGGCTTTCACTTTACGTCCATCCTCTAGCTCGTACGTGCCCGGTCAGCAGGCGCGTACAATTTTTGAAGGTTCGGACAATTTTGGTTGGCCCCCGGCCACAGACTATTTGCGGAGGCGGACAAACTTTCATGGCTGGATGCGCGCCGCTGTTTTACTGTAAGTGTATTGATTCCTCTTTCGGCATTCAAGCTGGTCTGAGATGGTCACTTCCGGAAAAGCATGGGCAGCATTCAGCTTCGTCCAAATGAGGCTCCCGAACATGAGTTCTGCGAGTGTCTGATTGGTAGCTCGATGGTGCGTAGTTCGACAAGTTAATAGAGCCTCCAGGACGGCATTATCCAACATTTCCCGGACAAACAGGTAGCCTGAACAGTTTCGTTTAGTGTTCTGTTGAAACGTTTCACCATGCCGTTTGCTGCCGGGTTTGCAAGGTGTAGTGCGTGAATGTCGTTTCGCGTTGGCTTCTAGATAGGCCGCTAACTCAAGGCTTGTAAACTGGGGCTCTGGAGGACCAAATAGACAAGACGGATGCTGTAACCACCGAATATTAGCCGCCGTCGTTACTTCCCCACATAGATGCACCTTAGGCCATTCAATGTAAAATCAGGTGGTGGGCAGGGGTTAAACTAAACGGACCCGTGATATCGACTGAAGTCTTAGACCAAGGCCGAGCTGGGTAAATTATCTCCTGGATCGGTGAATCAGAAGATTTTGCGCCCTTATCCGACAACTGACAAGGTTCGCTGTTTCGAACAAAATTCTCTATGGATTTCGGAGTCCCGAGCCACGAGAACCACGATTCTGCTTTCCGTTTGGTCAGTACCATTTCGGAGTGGTCTTCGTGGGCGCAAGAGATAATTTTGGGAACAATGCTCTCAGGAACCACGAATTTCGTGCCACGCATAAGACACCCGTCGACTATGGACGTAGAATGGACGAATGGATCCAGGTGTTTTATTTTGGTGGGGCCAACCCCCTAGAGGAAACTCTACTGTGAGAGTTGGAGGATCGTCCTCATCAGTAACCTTTTGGAGTTCCTCTTTGGTAACTGCGGAAATGCCTTCGGACTGCAAGGCATAAACCAATAGTTGTTCAGCAATTTCCTGATTTCATTCGACTTTGTCAAGGGGAAGGCGAGAGAGTCCATCAGCCGCTTGATTCTCATGCCCCGGTCGGAAAGCTATTTGAAAATTGTAGTTAAGCAATGGGGCATACCATCGGTGAATGCTCAGTGACCTAAGACCAGTACTTTATCGAGTAAGCAGAGTCCTCAAGGCCGAATGTTCGGTTCGAAGTGTAAACGGTCGGCCTAATAAAGACAGATTCCATTTTTCACAGGCCAAAACGAAAGCCTAGGCCTCTTTTTCTCCTGCAGAATACCCCGCCTCCGTTTTAGTAAGACCTTGAGACGCTTAGGCAATGAATATTTCCTTACCGTCCTGTACTTGAGATAATATTGCGCCCAAACCGATGTTGGAGACGTCAGTGGTAACAAAGGCTGGGTTTTTTCATCGAAGATGGCCACAACCGGCGTAGAGACTACGCGGAGCTCGCTCTCAGTGAATGCATTGTCTTGTGATGGACCCTAGATGAATTCTGCCTTTGCTTTCGGTAACAGCCCCAATGACTCTGCAGGAGTGGCAAAGTTTTGTAAGCAACGTGAGTGGTAGGAACACACTCCAAGGAAGTGCTTGACCTCAGTTGCATTTTGAGGACAGGACGCATCAGTAATTGACCTTGTGTTTTCTGCGCCCAGTCGTACTCCATCATTAGTGATTAAATGGTCCAGAAACTGAATGGGGTTCACGCGAAACTGGCATTTCTCTATGTCTAAACCCAAGTTCAGTTCACTCAAAGGCTGCTGGACTGCATGAAGGCGCTGTAACATACGTTTGAGCAATGCGTAGCCAAATCCACAAAGGATCCCGAAATCAAAAGGCCATTATCCGTGATATTCTATGATACTAGATTACTGAATGAATAATAACACAAAAAAGATACAAAACCGCAATAATGAGATCGCAAGGACTCAAAAACGAGAAACGAATTGCGGCGTGCGAGCGAAGAGCACGTGCATCGCGCAGGTCCAGAACAAGGATATGACAAAGTAGCGCTCTGGGCGCAAACAAACAACAACTGGTCCAGAAAAACAAACAGTGCTTAAAGACACGTCGATAGTGTAGGCCAGTGATTGATGTTAGGAAAATATGGAACTGCAACGGCTTTGGGGGCAGGGGATTTTCTATGACCGGTCCTTAAATCGCCACCAAAATCCTCCCGAATCCTCAGCGGAGTCAAAGGTTTGGTATAAAGGTATTGATTCCTCCTACCTACCTAGGCCCTGCTGTCAGTGCAAATGCCTAATGCTTGTCGTCAAAGTTCCACTCACGGTCGC